ACAAGGATATTGCAGTCTTACTTGTTGTAATACCTTACTTAGAAATTTCTGACACAAAGTGGGGCTATTAGCCATCTTTTCATGGGTTTTTAAAATCATTAGAAGGAACACTAAAGGCAAGTTTTTTACAATCTGAGGGATGTGATGGAATAGTATAAAAACAATATTTGAAAGCATATTATTTATGTAACATTTTGCAGTGTTAAACCAGGGGTTTTTTTGGGGTTTTTAAAAATCTTATACCATGCTAAAACTTTTAACTTTATTTTTAAGATGATATTTTGCTCAGAAGTTTAGATACACTAATTTATTTTGTGTGTTTATCACCCCAAAATGCTACAGTTTAATAACTGCAATTTTTAAATACTGCATAGGAAGAATCACCAATAGTATTAACATTTTCATCAGACCATTCTTTTAAAGCTAAAAAAATAGCATATAATTAACTTTTTTGTACTGATTTGTAAGGAGATGGTTTAACATAGAATTTGTTAATACTCCAATATTCCATTTTTCCATTATTAGAAATATTTGTAAAAACATTAGGACCTTTAAGAGGAACAGAGGATATGATACATATAGGTAAAAATAAAAGAGTGTATTCCTGAAGAAATGAAAAGAGTCTATTAGAAGGAAAGTGATTATCAAACTATGCAGCATTTACCCATACAACCAGATTCAATATAGGCAGGCATTAATTATGGGGCTATAAAGAACAAAGAGTGGAGAGTTTCTATTTATACTTCTACAGGTTTCCATTTAAAGTACAGCAACTAGAACAGGCACAACTGACACAGATTTGGAGTGCCGGCCACAGGCATGTGTATTTTTCAAGACTGGATAAAACAGAATTTTTTACTTAAGAATGTAAATACCAGATAAAGTGCATGGGTTTGTGAAGGTGATAGAAGATGCCAAGAGCTGATTTCTCAAAGATCTTTTGAGACAAAATGTCTTGGCTGGTGCTTTGAGATATTTGAGACACCTGCTCTCGGGGTCTCCCCACCTACGAGATTTAGAATTTCTATATATAGTAACTTTATTTTTGTTTTTGTATATTCTTATTCTTCACTGAAACTTTCAAATTTTATGAGCTCTCAAGTATTGCTACATTAAACATAAGACAAAAAGAAAACAAATGGGAAGCCAATACTAAATATTTGTAATACACGGAATGCTATTTAATTTTTTTTTAAGGGGGGGAAAGAAACAGATGAGGGAGAGAACTGTTTAAAAGGGATATGTGATTAGGTATTTTTGTCATGACAGGTATCTAGAGTGAAGGCTGCATGGTGGAGTGGACCTGGGGGAGGGTTTGTAAAACAATGAAAGAATTTTTCTTTTACTTTTCCAAGAGCGTAGTGTACTAGGGGGGAGGGTTGGGAGGGGAGAAAAGTGCAACAATGAATGAATGGAAATCCAAAGTCTCTGTAAATTTTTACTGAAGTTAATAACAAATTTTAAAAAAAGAAGTTAAAAGAAAAGACAACAAACACAGAGACAGTAACAATAAATTCAGACAAAAAACAAAACAATTAGCACAAACATTTTGAGGCCTGTTTTGTACCCCTGTTCAGGCACTAAATAACGAGGTCCAGCCTCGTTATATTGAACAGTTCCACTGAGAGAAGGGACATGGATTAAAAATGAAGACACAGAAAGGCTACCAGCTGATGGCGGATAGCAAAGTTTATTATTGAACTCCTGTCTTAAATTCTTTTTGCAGTGAACAGAAAAACAACTCGGCTTCAAGGCCAACAGTACATTTGTTCTGATATTCCCACCACCTGCAAGGTTGCTTGCTTTTTTATCAGCTGGAAAAGCCATCTGAACAGAGTCTTTAGGGAGGGACATTCTATTCTCCACATGCCCACTTAGCCTTGGGGTACGAGGAAGATTAAACTTGTCCTTGCTCTCCTTCAAACATCAAACTGCACTGATAAATAGCTCTGCACATTTGAACCTGGCATAAAATGGCTACTTGCACAAAGTGGTTGTGGTATGGCTCACTACACTATTTCCAAAATTTTTTCCTCACCCAAAACGCAAATTATCCTCTTCAGCATTAACTCCTCATTTCCCCCCTTTCCACAGTCCCTGATAACCATCCATTAAACTTTTGTCTTTATATAATTACTCATTTTCAGATACTTCTTACTAGTAAAATAATATTTGTTCTTTTCTGTCTTATTTATTTAATTAATAATAATATTTTAAGGTTCACCCATGTTATAGTATGTAATAAGACTTTATTTTCTCTTTGTGGTTAAGTACCACATTTTGCTTTTTTATTCTTGTGTTAAGTTGGGTTGTCTCAACTTTCTGACTCCTGTGTTTAGTGCTCCAACAGTCACTGATATACACATATTTGTTTGAGTCTTTGTTTTGAATTCTTTTGTGTATATACATAGAAGTGGAATTACTTGGTCAGTCCTAGTACCACAGTTATTAAACTCAGCTGCTAACCAAAAGGTGCCAGTTTGAACTCCTTCCATAAAGATTGTTTTTATTGTTTACGTTCAAGTTGGAACCAACTCATAGCTGACCCTCCAGCAAATTTTCAGAGGCAGTTTAATTGCACAGGAGAAGATTGCCCATCTTTCTCCCTCAGAAAAACTGGTGGATCCAAACCACGTGCCCTCGGGATTGTAGTGCAGCTTCTTGCCTCCAGGCCACCAGAACTTCCTTGTAAAGATTGTTGTTGTTGGTTGTTGTTGTTGTTGTAGTTGTGTGTACCAATGAGTCAAAACCAACCTATAGTTGACCCTCTGATGAGTTTTTAATCACATGGGAGGTGATTGCCCATCCTTCTTCAGAGCAGCTGATAGCCCCGAACCACATGCCTTTGGGAATGGCAGCATAGCTTCTTTCTAGTAGGCCACCAGAGTTCCCTTATAGATGTACAGCCTCATAATTCCTGTGAAGTAGTTTTACTCTGTCCTATAGGTTGAGTAGGAACTGACTAGATGAAAACAAGGTGTTTTCTATTTTGGAATGTTGTTTTAAATGGTTATTCTATATTTCATTTTTTTAGGAACTAACAGTTTTCAAACTTCTTTGCTTTTTAAATATAATAAGTGTCTAGTTCAAAGGAAGAAAAGACCAAGATGGATGTCAGATGAGCGCCAAGAAGCCAAAGCTAAAGGAAGAAATCAAGAAATCAAACAACTGAACAGAAAATTTCAAAAGGCAGCCCGGGACAACAAAGCAAGATACTATAATGAAATGTGCAGAGAGCTGGAGTCAGAAAATCAAAAGGGCCGAAGTCACTCAGCATTTCTTAAGCTGGCAATACTTAAGGATACTTTTGGTAGAATGTTAAATGATCCAGGAAGTATCAAAAGAAGATGGAAGGAGTACACAGAGTCACTATATCAGAATGAATTGGCTGACACAGAAGAATTTCATGAAATAACATATGAGCAAGAGCCTATGGTGATCAAGGAGGAAGTTCAAATTGCTCTGAAGGAATTGGCAAAAAACAAGGCTCCAGGAGTTGACAATATACCATTTGATTTATATCAACAAACAGACGCTGCCCTGGATGTGCTCACTAAGTTGTGCCAAGAAATCTGGAGGAGACCAGCTGGCCAACTGACTGGAAAACATCGATCTTTATTCCCATTCCAAAGAAAGGTGACCCAACAGAGTGTGGAAATTACCGAACAATATCATTAATATCACATGCAAGCAAGATTCTGCTGAAAATTATCCAAAAACGTTTGGAGCAATAGGTCAACAGAGAACTGCCAGATGTGCAGGCTGGATTTAGAAGAGGTTGTGGTACTAGGGATATTATAGCTAATGTTAGATGGATCTTCGCAGAAAGCAAAGACTACTAGAAGAATGTCTATCTGAGCTTCATTGACTATGCAAAGGCTTTTGTGTGGATCACAACAAGCTGTGGCTGACTCTGAGAAAAATGGGAATCCCAGGACATTTGATTGTGCTAATGCGAAACTTATACTTCGACCAAGAGGCAGTAGTCAGAACAGAGCAAGGAGACACTACATGGTTCAAAATCAAGAAGGGCATCCGTCAGGGATGTATTTTGTCTCCATACCTTTTCAATCTGTATGCAGAACAGATCATCCGAGACACTGGGCTGTACGAGGAGGAATGTGGCATCAGGATTGGTGGAAGAATCATCAACAACCTGCATTATGCAGGTGACACAACCCTGCTTGCTGAAACTGAGGAGGACCTGAAGTTCTTCCTGCACAGGGTCAAGGACTGCAGCCTCCTATATGGATTTAAGCTCAACATCAAGAAAACAAAGATTCTAACCAGTGGGCCAATTGGCAGCATCAGTATGGATGGTGAAGAGATTGAGATAGTTAACAGTTTTAGTTTACTTGGTTCCATAGTCAGCACTCTTGGTAACAGCAGCCAGGAAATCAAGAGACAAATTGCATTGGGAAAATCAACTGTGAGGGACCTCTCAAGAGTACTGAAGAGCAACAACACCAGGCTGGAGACTAAGGTATACCTGATCCAGGCTATAGTCTTCGCAATTACGTGCTATGCATTAGAGAGTTGGACAGTGGCTAGGGGCGATAGAGAGAGAATCGATGCCTTTGAGCTGTGGTGATGGAGAAGAGTGTTGAATATACCATGGACTGCTAGGAGAACAAACAGGTTTGTCCTGGAGAGGGTGAAGCCCGAATGCTCCTTGGAGTCAAGGATTCTGAAACTTTTTCTGACATACTTTGGGCATGTTGCAAGGAGGGACTGGTCCTTGGAGAGGGACATCATGTTTGGGAGAGTGGAGGTAGGGCACAGGAGAGGAAGACCTTCGATGAGATGGATCGATTCTGTGAGTGGAGTGGTGGGAATGAGTGTGTTTGAGATGGTTGGCACAGGATAGAATGGCATTTAGGGCTCTTGTACATAGGATCAGTATGAGTCGCAAGCGACTCGATGGCACATAACAACAAAAAGTGTCTAGTTCATACTTCATTATTTGGTTATTTCTAACTTGTCTTTCTTCCTGTGTCCAGTTACAGGAAACCAACTTATGAGAACTATGAACTGCATATGCGGAGCAAGATAGGACAGAGGAGTCCTTCAGAAATCAGTGTTCATGTTGGAATAGATGACAGCTCAAGAATTTCTGCTCAACTGAGTTTGCTGGACCAGATTATTAATTACAGTCGGGCCTCCATAAACTCACTGCTGTCTGATAAGCGTTCCCTAAATAGCATTGTTACCAATGAACCTGATAAACACTCACTTCTGGTGGGAGACTTCAGGGAAGATGATACTGTATTGTAAAAGAACAGACACTACCACTTGTTTAATTTGTTATGTACTGACAGTGCATTTATGAAATCATCTTAGCTTTTCAAAATATTGTGGAAGGATTTTATGTTGGTCTCATGCTCTTGTATCAGAAATTCTTTTTTAATTTGTCTAATGACAAAAAATATCTTTTTCAAGACACCAGCTCTGAATTTAGCTTTATTTCAAATTTCCAGTATTTTTGTTTTCACTTGCAGTGAGGTTTACTACAGGTATACAGTTAAAAATTGCTGAAGTGTTGTTAAACTAACATGAGTTGACAAAAGAAAAAAAGAGAGACAGAGACCAAAGAGAATAATTAATAATTTGAAAATTTGTGAATATGACTTTGAAATTATTGAGTCCTGTCTTTGCCAGACTGGGGAGCAATGACTTTGACAACATGATTTAAAGTATCTAATTTTAGGAGGGAAATGGTAAAAATGGTTTAAAATCTCTGATTGCTGTGGAGTTGGAACTGACTCATAGATAACCCTCAAGTGGGTTTGCAAGGCTATAAATTGTATGGAAGTAGATTGTTCATCATTCTCCCGAGGAACTGCTAACAAATATATGTGCCTTATTTATTGCAGGCTTTTTCTCTGCAGTTTTATCCTAGCAGTTGCTTTCTTGGGTGGTTTAATGTTTTCTTTGCTTAATTTGAGTTAGCTAATATTTGGGTGGTTCTTCATCTTTAAAAAGTAAGTGATAACTTTTCCATTTTTACCTTTTTTTCATCTTATAGCTCAGGTCTTGAAGAGTCCTTTAGGATTCTGACACTCATCTTTACCTTATAAAAATATTATAGAATTCATTCCTTCAACATTTTTAGTTCTTTGCAGCTTCAAATTCATTCCCACTGAGTTCAGCTATAAATAATGATTTCTTCTTGGTGTAGTCTCTTTAAAAGCCTCACTCCAGAAACTTAAAAACTTTTACAAATTTTGAACATCTTCTACAATTGATTCCCCCCTAATTTTAACACTACTACCTTTACCATTTATATGTCATGTTGCATTACTTGGATTCACTAATTGCTCTTTTTTATGCTACAATCCTTTATTGAGAATATATTGTAACATGCTAAAACTAGAGTTGCTTTTCTTTTTGAGAGAGTATTTCTTTTATTTTATATTAGTTTGCAAAGAAAATTCATATACGTTGTGTTTCATACTGATACTTTCTAATTGTTTCACCCCCCTCCCTCTGCCCACCAGACTCTGGACCCCATTATTTCCCCCTTCTCCACCCGCAGCCCCCCTGCACCTATCTCTTCCCCCCTTGGACTTTCATACACTTCTTACTAGTTATCTTTTGATTTTATAAAAATCATGATCTAGAGTTCTTTTTATCTCTTCACCACTTGCTAATATTTCCCACAAGGGAGTGAGTTAAGGTGATTGTAAATGAGTGAACGTACATACACACCCAATTTAGCAAATAAGAGAAAAGGATTTATTAAGGTAATGCAAAGGAGGCATGGCTGGTGAAAGATAGAGGTAGGCCATGCAAAAGAGTTACAAAGGAATGGAAATAAGGTAAAAATGGGTGGAGAGAGGCACCCCAGGAAAAGTCAGGAGTAGACCCAAACCTTTTGACAGGCAGCCAGCAGAAAGAGAAGGGAAAGCCTCAGATGAGCACTGCTTTTATTGACTCCCAGTCTTAGGAGTAAGACTGGTCACAGCCTGGCCCTGCCTAGGGAATTGTGGGATTGGTTGGGATTTGAATCTTCTACATTCCTGAGGAGAGGGCTTCTTCACCTTGATGCATTTGTTTTTTACTTCCCTTCCTATTTCCTGGGAGAAACCTTGCTTTTAGCCCTTTCCTATGGGAGTGGGAGAGACTGCGACCAACCAGGTAGCAGTTCCAGCCCTTGGCATATAATTTAATAGATTTTAATTATCTTCTAGTGTTTCAGAGAACTTCTCAAAATGACTTTAAAATAGTGTTACTACATAAAACTGTTTTTTAACAAAAGTACAATAAATTGTAATAAAAACAATTTTAAATTCTTCCAAGTGTGATAGCTTTTAGCCAAACCTGTACTTTTCTCTAGTTTAAAACATTTGTACTTGCTAGTTATAGTATGCTTGGCAAATTTAGGGGCTTAATCCCAATGACATCTGAATTGAGAAGCTCCCCTGTGAGTCCCAGGAGTTAATACAGTGGTAAAAAAATCTGATACTATTTAAATTTCCTTGTTAATTGCAGAGTGGCAGTTCATATGCAGAATATATAAATGAAGAAAACACATAAGTAAATACCTAATATTTTGAACCTATTACCATAAAGGTGCTAAGACATTTTCTGGCACATTGACTTTCAGCTCAGTAAATATTCCTTTCTCCCACTGAGTTCAGTCATAAATATGAAAAACCATTGTATAGAGCAAGTTCTAAAATCAAGTGGGGGGAGAGGGATGGAGTTCCTAGCTGCATACTCCTTTATCTCTTAATACACACATAAAGGCTACAATATTATTTTATTCTGTCTTTTCAGATTTAGAATAGTTACGATTTTTTCCTCTCCTAAGAAACATAAACGCAGGTTATACACATGGATTTCACCTGATGGTATGCATAGGAATCAGATCGATTACATCTGTGGGAAAAAACCGCTGGAAAAGCTCAATATCAGCTGTGAAAACTAGGCCAGGAGCTGATTGTGGAACAGACCACCAATTACTCATATGCAAGTTCAAGCTGAAACTGAGGAAAATGAAACCAAATCCACAGGAGCCCAAATATGACTTTGATTTCATCCCACCTGAATTTCAGAA